TAGAAGAATAGTCAAAGGAGAAATCAGTTCAAATCCCCATTCAGATTTAAGGCATATGAGGAAAGAGGTCTTGTTTGTCTTGCGCACATTGATGCCATCCCACAATTGAGATTTTATGTAGCTCTTGATAATGAGAGGGTAAATTGTTGGCTCAATGAATAAGTGGACAGATGAACTGGTGTGCTCATACATAAACTTTTGGGCTTGAATATTGAAATCCTGTTTTTGTAGAAATCTGATATCACTTTCCTGATTTGCATATTGTTTTCTGTAATATTAACCATAAATTTTAGTGACTTTAAAAAAAATATAACCAGAAAAATACTGAAAGAACACTGGTCTTAAAACCAGATGACCTGGTTTTTTCTTTTGTTTTCTGTTAACATTTCTATTTTATTTCTTTTACTTTTTCTCTATGCACACATACAAATTATTCTGCAAACTTAGAATTATTTACATTTTCAATTTTATGCTTGGCTTTTTAAGTTAACATTGTCATTAACATTGTTTAAGTATGTCTTGACAATATTTTTATTTGTTCTTTTTAGTTATATATGACAATAGAATCCATTTTGACATAATAAGCATAGAATATAATTTGTTCTAATTCAGTTCCTGTTATTTCTCCTTTCCCTGTTTTCTTCCTCTCCCTGTTCCCTTTCTTCTACTCTACTGATCTTTCTGATATTTACTTATACATATATTTTTGTTAGTATCTCATGGATATATATGAAGGTGAGATTCACTGTGATAAATTCATATATGTACATAGGAAGGTTAGATTCATTCCCATTTCCCATCACATTTCTGCTCCCTCCCTTCACTGCTCTTTATCTACTCCACTGATTTTTCTTCTATTCTTTTTTATCTGCCCCCTCCCCTTATTTTGGATTAGGTTCCACATATCAGATAAAATTTTCAACCTTTAACTTTTGGGGACTGGTTTGTTTCATTTAGCATGGTATTTTCCAATTTTATCCATTTACAGGCAAATGCCATAATTTCATTCTTTATGGCTGAGTAATACATGTGTATGCATACCACATTTTCTTTATCCATTCATCTGTTGAAGGGCTCCATAACTTAGCTATTGTAAATTGTGCTGCTATAAATATTGATGTGGCTTCCTCACTGTAGTATGCTGATTTTAAGTCCTTTGGGTATACACTGTGGAGTGGGATAGCTGGGTCATATAAGTTCCATTCCTAGTCCTCCATACTACTTTACAGAGTGGTTGCACTCATTTGCAGTCCCACCAACAATGTATGAGTGTGCCTTTCTCCCCACATCCTTGCCAAATTTATTGTTACTTTTATTCTTAATAATTGCCATTCTGATTGGAGTGAAATGAAATCTCAATGTAGTCTTAATTTATATTTCTCTAATTCCTAGAAATGTTGAACATTTTTCATATATTTGTTGACCATTCATAAATCTTTTTTGAGAAGTCTGTGTTTTAGTTTCTTTGCCCATTTATTGATTATTTGTTTTGTTTTTGGTGTTTTTAAAGTTCTTTGTATATCTTAGATATTAATGCCCTATCTGAGGAGCAGCTGGCAAAGATTTTCTCCCTTTCTTTTGACTTTCTCTTGATGCTCTTAGTTGTTTCCTTTGTGTGAAGAAGGTTTTTAATTTGATGCCATCCCACAATTGATATTTTATGTCTTGTACCTTACGA